CTTCAGACTTCAGTCATCTTAAGCGATGATCCCACATCAGGGTCATCATAGTTTGAGGGCTGATTCTATTTTATTGATGCATACTAAATTATATGAATGATGATAAAAAATAATGTTCACCTATTGTTGTGTCTTCCAAAAAGATGTATGTTCAAGCCCTAACTCCCATACCTATGAATAAGACCTTCTTTGGTAACAGAGTTTTTGCAGATGTAGTTAAATTAAGATGAGATTATGTTGGATTATGAGCCCTAATCCAAGGACTAGTGTCCTTAGATGAAGCGGGAAATTTGGACACGTCACAGACACCCAGGGAGAGCACCAGGTGACAGTGGAGGCAGAGATTGGAGGGATGTGTTGCTGGCAACCCCCAGGAGCTGGAAGAGGAGAGGAAGGGTCCTCCCCTGAGGCATTTGGAGGGAGTGCAGCCCTGCCCCGACACCTTGATTTCAGACTTCCAGACACCTGAACTGTGAGAGAACACATTTCTGTCACTTTAACCCACCAAGTCAGTAGTAATTTCTGCAGCCTTGGGAAACTAATACGCCAGAGTACCACCTAAAATCATCCCCTGTCCCACCGGAGGGACCCATACAGCCCTGAGGGACATACAGGGCTGGGTGTTCGTGATGGCCCTGTTCAGCCCTGTGGTGATCAGAAGATGATGGCCTTCGTTGTATCAGTCAGGTGTGGTGTAAGGCATCAGCACCCCTATTTGTAAAGGTGAGGAAAGGCTGTTTTCATCTGGTTTGAGCAGATGCACTTCATCAGTTCCGAACAGCATCCTGGTGTGTGCACCTGCCCCTGGTGTTCACTCCCAGGCTTCCAGGGAGCTACAGGCCGTGCATGGACACGGCTGGGGCTTGGTGACATCTCCGTGGTTGTCTTCCTGGCTGGCACATCCTTTGCTGGGTAGAGGGCTAATGCTTGATGCTGTCTTAAGGAGGTTTTATTTTCTAATGAATTCATTTGGATCATAGCCCAGAAGCTGGCTTTTATTACCTTCCATCTTATCTGTGGTCATCTTTTAAACCAACCACAGCCACGGCCCCTTGTTCCCATTTCCACACATCGTCAGAGGAGAGCACTGTTCCATCTGCATCTGTATTTTCCAGCTACAGTGCACGCTGGTGAACCATCTGCATTCTCTGCCTTAGCCTACAATAAACATATTTAATTTGGATTTAAAATATTTAACAAACAGAATAAATGTTTTAGTTCAATATCTTTTCATTGTTTATCATGCATCTAACATGAAGAATTTATATTTAATCCTTTATAATGTGAATTTTTTAAAAGATTTTATTTATTTTTTGAGAGAGGAGAAGGAAGGGAGAGAGAGGGGGAGACAAACAACAATGTGAGAGAGAAACATTGAATGGTTGCCTCTCCTACGCACCCTGACAGGGGACCAAACCTGCAACCCAGGCATGTGCCCTGACCGGGAATTGAACCGGCAGCCTTTCACCTTGCGGAGCAACGCTCAACCAACTGAGCCACACCATTCAGGGCTATAATCTGAATTTTGATGCATATTCTGCCTCACTGCTATATTGGTCCAAATGTGTACTCAATAAATATGTATTGAGTGCCTTTTGTATACCATACACTGTGAGGTGCTTCCTCACGTATCCCAAAGCATCTGCCACTGGGGATATGAAATGGATTGGTGTCCCAGACTATGAGAACTTTCCAATAAAGGGAATGTAATAACAGTCTTACCACTTACTGGCTTAGAATGATGCTGGCCCATCGTAGGTGCTCAATAAATGTTATTTTTCCTCTTCCTCACTGTATTCAAGAAGAAGCCAAGTACATATCTCTGCAGCTTGCTCCATCAGTGAGGTCCTCTGACCAGAGGGAAGAGACACAGTAAAGCCCATCAAGGTGAACATGCAGAGTTCCAAGTTTTTGAAGACACCTTGCAGCCCTTCATTAGCCACAAAGCATGAGGCTGCTCAGTTTGCTCATGTCCTAGTGGCCAAAGCAGTGTCTGTCAGACTTGACTATATGATGCTCTCAAGAATGTGCTCACACCTAACACTAGGCTTCTGTGATGGCTTTTTTAAAAGTATATTTTATTGATTATGCTATTACAGTTGTCCCATTTTTTCTCTCCTTTATTCCCCTCTGCCCTGTACCTCCCCTCCCACCAGTATTCCCCTTTTTAGTTCATGTCCATGGGTCGTATATATAAGTTCTTTGGCTTCTCCATTTCCTATACTATTTTTAACTTTCCCTTGACTATTTTGTGCCTACTATTTATGCTTCTTATTCCCTGTACCTTTTCCTCCACCCTTCTCTCTCCCCCTCCCTACTGATAACCCTCCATTCCTGTGATTCTGTTCCTGTCTAGTTGTTTGCTTAGTTTGTTTTTGTTTTTTAGGTTCATTTGTTGATAGTTGTGAGTTTGTTGTCATTTTACTATTCCTAGTTCTGATCTTCTTTTTCTTAGATAAGTCCCTTTAACATTTCATATAATAAGGACTTGGTGATGATGAACTCCTTTAACTTGACCTCATCTGGGAAGCACTTTATCTGCCCTTCCATTCTAAATGAAAGTTTTGCTGGAGAGAGTAATCTTGAATGTAGGTCCTTGCCTTTCGTGACTTAGAATACTTCTTTCCAACCCCTTCTTGCCTGTAAGGTTTCTTTTGAGAAATCAGCTGATAGTCTTGTGGGTACTCCATTGTATGTAACTGTCTCCTTTTCCCTTGCTGCTTTAAGACTCTCTCATTATCTTTCATCTTGGGTAATGTAATTATGATGTGCCTTAGTGTGTATTTCCTTGGGTCCAACTTCTTTGGGACTCTCTGGGCTTCTTGGACTTCCAGGAACCTATTTCCTTTCACAGATTGGGGAAGTTCTCCATCATTAGTTTTTCAAACAAGTTTTCCATTTCTTGCTCTTCCTCTTCTCCTTCTGGTGCCCCTATGATTTGGATATTGGAATGTTTAAAGTTGTCTTATAGATTCCTAAGCCTCTCCTCATTTTTTTTGAATTCTTGTTTCTTCATTGTTGTTCCAGTTGAATGTTTATTTCTTCCTTCTGCTCTAGATCATTGATTTGAGTCCCAGTTTCTTTCCCTTCACTGTTGGTTCTCTGTATATATTTCTTTATTTCACTTTGCATAGCATTTACTTTTTCCTCTATTTCATGACCATACTCAACCATTTCTTTGAGGACACTAATTACCAGTGTTTTTGAACTCTGCATCTGATAAGTGGGCTATCTCTTCAGTGCTTAGTTCTATTTTTGGAGCTTTGATCTGTTCTTTCATTTGGGCCATATTTCTCTGTCTTGGTACAGCTGTTATGTTCCAAGGGGTGGAGCCTTAGGTATTCACTAGGGTGGGGCAACCCACATTGCTGTGTTGTGTCACTGTATGTGGGGGAGGAGTCTGAGAAGAAACAGTACTGCTTGCTCAGCTATCAGCTTAATTTCAGTCACTTTCTCCACTACCCACAAGCAAACTGGGTCCTTCCTTCTGGTGCTGATTCCCAGAGGGTGGCTTTGTGTATGCCCTAGGACCCTGTGGGTCTCTCCAACAAACTCTCCTGGGAGGCTGGGAATTTCTTCCACCACCACAACTCCCATAGGTTTTTATAGCCAGATGTTTTGAGGCTTTCTTTTCCCATGCTGGAACCCTGAGTTGCTCAGTCTGTCTCTCTCCCCAGTTGTTCCTCCCGGTTTATCCCCATGCAAATCTGGGACAGCCAGCTGCTACCTCGCCCTCCTGGTCCTCTAGCCGCCACCTTGTTGCTTATCCTTTCTGCCCTGGCTGCCCTTCTCCACCCTTCCTACCAGTCTGGATGAATGTTTCTTCTTTAACTCCTTGGTTGTCAGACGTCCATGTAGTTTGATTTTCTGGCAGTTTTGGTTAATTTTTGTTTTTAAATTTGTCATTGTCCTTCTTTTTGTTGTACGAAGAGGCACAGCGTATCTATCTATGCCTTCATCTTGGCCAGAAGTCTCCTGTGATGACTTTTTAAAACAGCTTTATTGAGATAAAATTCACACATTTAAAGTGTACAATTTGATGGCTTTTAGTACAGTCACAAATGCGTGCAACTATCACCCATTGTAGGACATTTTTTAACACCCTTTAGCTAACACCCTCTATCCCCTCAACCCCCATGCCCTAGACAACCACTAATCTACTTTTTGTCCCTATAAATCTGTCCTGGACATTTGATATAAGTAGAACCACTTAGTATATGGTCTTCTAAGCTTGGCATTTTTCACTTAGCATAATGTTTCAAGGCTCAGCCACTGTAGCAATATCAGTGTTCATTTCTTTTTATGCCTGAATAATACTCCACTGTATGGATATACCACATTTTGTTTAACCATTCCTCAGTGGATAACCATTTGGATTGTTTTGGCTATTATAAATAGTTTTTCTATAAACATCCATGCACAAATTTATATGTGAACATGTGTTTTCATTTCTCTTGGGTATTTACTTAGGAATAGAATTCCTGAGTCATATGACAGCTCTATTTTTAACCATGTGAGAAAGAATGAGACTGCTTTCCAAAGAGGTTGCACCATTTTACATTCCCACCAGTTGTACGTGAGTGTTCCAGTTTCTCTGCAGTGTTGCCAGGTGAGGGAGACAGTGATGGTAGGTAAGAGAAGAGAGTGCAGGGGGATTCAGACAAACAGTGAGAGGCAAGAGGGGCAGAGACATGGAGGGGAAAGACCTTTGTTCAAATGTTATTTCCAAGTCATCAATCACCAAGATAATGACCTTCCCTCTGCACACGGAAGGGCACATCTCCCAGTCCCTATGAGAATATGCTTTGTGGTGAGGCAGGGGTCTCCATCTGCTGAGAGGGGAGCTGTCCGGGATTAGGCCTTGGGGTCCACTCTTCCTCATCTCCTGTCCTCATAGAGAGCAGAGCATCTGCTGCTGGGGAAGGTTTGCCAAGACTGAGTGTCAGGTGGCCCCTTGAACTGCTCTCTGATCTCTGCTTCCCCTCTGCTTTCTTGCTTAGCAAAAACAGTCACCACTGAAGAGTGCCTGGTGAAAACGGCAGGCATGAACCGCTACAGCGTGGACCCCTCAGCCTCCGCCTCCGCCTTTAGCCACAGGGGCTCCTTGCCCACCTCCTCCTCGCTATACTTCAAGAGGCAGAGTTCCGGAGATAGCCATCTTGTGGGAGGCCCAGCCACCACCACTAGTGGTCCTCGCACCAGCCCCATGTCCTCTGGAGGCCCCTCGACACCTGGGCTGAGGCCCCCAGGCTCCAGCCCCAAGAGAAATGGGACCTCTCTGGAAGGAAACAGATGTGGTAATGTAATGCATGCATTGGCTTCCTCCCTGTGACGTAACCTCCTCTGCCCATGCCCTGGGGCAAATGCATGGAGGGAAGGAGGGGACTGAGGCTCTTGGAACGTGGGAGCACTAGGAAATCAGAAGTTTCCACAAGCCTCCTCATGAATTGTTGTTCTTGAAGACAGCTGACATCGGCCTTTGACGATAAGCAAAGAAAATGGTGTATTAGTGTAAGCTAGGCTGTAGGGGTAAGTAGACTTCAAAAATGTACAGTGACTCAAGTACAACAGAAGTTTATTTTTGTTCAAGAGACCAAGGTGGGCCCTGGCCAGGTGGCTCAGTAGGTTGGAGTGTTGTCCCGTGCACCAAAAGGTTGTGGGTTTAATCTCCAGTCAGGGCGTGTACAGGAGGCAACTGATGGATGTCTCTCTCTCACACTGATGCTTCTCTCTGTCTCTCTTCCTCTCTTTCTAAAGTCATTAAACATATCCTCAGGTGAGGATTTAAAAGAGAATAAAAAAGAGAGACAAAAGTGCTGTTCCTAGTTGGTGGGTGCATTCCAGTTCAGGAACCCAGACTCTGTTCCTTTTGCGGTTCTGCTCACCCCCCGGACTTCCACACCCCCAGCATCTAGTGGGTGGGAAGGGAAAGAGTGAGTGGGGAAGGCACGCATAAGAACTTCCCTAGAGCCCAGAAGTGGTCGCACCACTTCCACCCATGTCTTGGCAAGAGATGGCCATTTTGCCACACTTCACTCTAAGGGGGTCTGAGAGGCATAGACCAGCTCTGTGCCAGGAACAAAAAAAAGTAGTTGTTAGGAGAGAGTTTTTTCCTGCATAGTGGGCAACATGGCAGGATACAAACCCGTGGGCAGAAGCAGAGTCGAGCAAAATTCCCACAGCACTGGCTGTGGTGCCACTTCTGTCTCAGCCATTACAGAGTGCTTGTTGGGGCACAGTGTGTGAAAGTGGTGCCATTGCAGGGATAGCTCAGCATCCTTTCTGACTTTTTAAAAATTATCTTTAGGCTTCAGTATTTTATTAATGAATAGAGGCTATAGAGCATAGAGATAATCACATGGGCTGTGGAGCCAGATAACCTGGGCTGGAGTCCTGGGTCTGCCACTCTCTGTTCGACCTTCTGCAAGTCTGAGCTTCTCTGCCTGTTTCCTCGCTGGTAAAACTGGAATGATAATAGCAGCACCCACCCTGTAGGTTTGTTGGGATGATTAAATAAGTCCTTATGTGTATTTAGTACAAAGTCTAGGACAAAGTAAGAGCTCAATAAATGTTAGTAGTCACAGATCTTGTGAACACACCCCTGAGCAGAGCACAGCTCATGAACTCAGCCGCTGGGAACTGCTGCAGAAAGAGGGCCAGGCCAGGGAGGTAGAGAGTCTTCATCTGGCCCCCCTCCCCGGAGCCTCCCAGTGGGCCAACTGTCTTCTTGGGCCAGCCACGTTTCTGCACTGAGCCTATAATCTCTCCAGGAGCAGCCCTGAGAAGCCATAGCATTTAGCTACTTTGTATGATCCAAGGTCCTCCACACACTCCCCTCAAAGAGCCTCACCCATCCTGGACGAGCCTCTGCTGGCCGAGGATGAGAGGGAAGCAGGGGCCCCTTGAAGGGGAGGCAGTGCTGAGGGGCACAGCATAGACTCCCTCACTGGGGGCTCTTGCCAAATGTAGGGCACCCTGTAGACTGCTCCCCAACATTGTCACGCAGGGCCATCAGCCAAGGAAGGAGATATGAGTAGACAGAGTGCATTTTTCAAAAGGGAGAGCCACTGTTAATCTGACCTCTAAGAGCAGGAGAAGGGAACAAGATCTGGCACAAACCCAAGTCTTAAAGTAGATGAGGATGCAGCATTTATTTCCCAGGGTTATCTCCAGAGTTAGAGTGGCATCTGGTATGCAGTAGGTGTTCAATAGACATTCATTGTCTCTGTGCCTGCCCCCTGCCCTCAGCCATCATGGTGCCCTGTACCATCCTGCTGACATCCTACTGTCCCTCTTCCCCTTACAAGTCTCTTTCTTTCAACCCCTTCTCTGCAACCCGGTTCCCATCTGCTCAGGGGGGTAACCACAGGACACCGCCCTGAATGAGTTGACTTATCATCCTAACAGTGTTGCTTCTTTTTAAAAAGGAGATATTTACTCTCTCCACCATTCAAACCCTGAGATTGGTAAAATCTCAGGCCCTATATCTCAAGTATAGGATTTCAAGCAATAGGAGGAAGACACGATTTGGATGGAGAGAACCATCACTTGCTATAGAATTGTCTGACCCAACCCAGTCATCTGGTCTCCCTGAATGAGGGGACTCCAGGACCCACCAAAGGGGTCTCAAGGGAGCTCCGCTCCCCGAGTCCCTTGCTGCCTCCTTCAGTGGAGCCCTGGGATGTCCTCCCACCCCAGTTTCAACCACCCTCCTGTCCTTTCTTTTTATCTCTGCCCCAGCCCTTCATTCTCCTGGAATTAGACCCTGATCAGCTGTCTGAGTCATCTGCAGAGGGGAGGCCCAGACCCTCCCTTGCGGCCAGCTCCGAGAAGGCCCTCTGTTGGAGCGCTGGCTGCGCCCCCAGGAGGGCCCACTAGCCCAGGAGGGCCCTGTGTATCTCAGGATCTTGGGTGAGATCAGAGGAACAGAGCCCTCCAGAACCTGCCGCCTTCCACTCCGAGCAAACCAGTTACTATATACTGAATGCTGATGGTCTCTTTTACAACTTAGAAATATTAGTGAGAACTTGGCCTGATACCCCGAAACTTAGAATTGTTCATAGTCAGCAGGACCCTGTAGGGCTGGAGGATGTTCAGAGTCACACAGCCACCCAGCCTCCGTGGAGTAAAGCTATTGCAGGATGCAACAGTTGAAATTCATTGTTGAGCCTTTGTGATGCACTGAAGAAAAGTGAAGTTATTTACCCTTTGTAGGTGCATTAACTCTTTAATGCTCCAAAGATCCCTCTTAATCAGTGCCATCTTCATGGTGCCATATGAAACCACAGATCCTGGAAAGACCCAGCCAGCCACGTACATTCTCAGCATGGAGATGAAGGAAGGGGGTGGGGAGAATAAGTGGACAGAGGGCAGTGCTGGCATCTCTGAAAGAGGTTTCCCTACTCTGCTTCCACCTCATTGGCTGGAATTTAGTCATGTGGCCATGAGCTGAGAGGGAAGGTGGGAAATTCTTAGTTACTTAATTCTTAGTAACCATGGTCCCAACTGGAAATCTGGGATTCTGTTACAGAAGAAGAATCGGAAGAAAGATGCTGGGTGGGCAACTGGCCATCTCGGCCACACCTCACAATCAGGCGTGTTCATTCTCTCCGGCTTCCTCCCCTGACACTTTGTCTCCTCATCTCCAGCACTTCCTCTCTGCAGCCCCATGGCAGGAGCAAGACTCAGTTTTGTGGGGTTTCTTGCTCACATTTGTATCCTCCCCAGCCCCAGAAAAGGGGCCTGCTTGTTCAAAACATATGCACATACTAAATAGCTATTTACCAAGGGCCTGACCCTGGGAGGTCTCGGGGAGAGAGAAGAAGGGATGGGAGCAGACAGGACTCTGACACCTGCCCTCATTGCCCGGGCAGGCCCTCTTTGCATCTGCAGAGTGGCGGTCTATGTGTGCTTTGCTTGAACGAAACTTGCACAGCTAAACACATGTGGAAACTGTGGAAATAAACCAGGCTGAGTGGAGTGACAGTGTGTTAACGTAGGGGAGAAAACCATTGGCCCCATACTCATTTGTCACCTAGCTGCCTGCTGCGGGCCCTCTGGGGGGCTATTACATTTTCCCTCTGCCCAAGGAATTAACTGCTCAGTATTGCTCTGAAATTGCATCCCAAGTGAAAGCAGTTGGTACTAAGGAACCAAACCTTCGTAAGAGGGTTTGACCCACATCATAAAGCCTGGGAGGAACCTAGAAATGGATTTTCCCCCATGGTGTTAATCAAAATGGATTAAAACCACAGAAGCCAGAAAATAGCATGAGGCTGCAGGCAGGAGAGCAGATACCAATAACACGACAAACTTGAATACTTGCCCTGGCCACTGGCTATCTTGATATATCACACCTATCACCTTTGCCAGTGGCCTCGGAAGGACTGTATTCACAGCTCATGTTTCCCTGTTTTGTGTTGCTGATACTCAGGTGAAAATTCAAGACTTCTCTCCTGACTCTCATCCAAGACATAATCACTAAGAGCTATAAAGAGGTTTCAGATAACAAAAGCATCCTGACTCTTGCTTGTAACAGGACATGCTATAGAATTCCCAAACACAACTAGGTCCAAGCTTCAGAATCAAGAAACAAAGTAAATCTGCCACTGTTATTACCACCTAGATGCTGGGCTGGAGTTTGCTTCCATGGGGTGCAGCATCGGGTGATGGATAGAGACGATTCAGCCAGAAGAAGAAGGGGACAGCGCTCTGTGTGACGTGGGTGGGATGTCTGAAGGTCTGGAGAGGCCTCTTCGTTCAGCAGAAGAAGGATTGTTACGGGAACTGTGACTCTGGTCAGTGCTGGCCAGCAGCTACTTACTGAGCTCGGTGTGCCAGGGGATCTTCCCAGGTCTGGGGATGGAGCTGTGTGCAAGACAGATGTGCAACCTGCTCCAGAGAGACAAACATTAACAATTGCACACATTTCATTACAACCGGGACTAGTGCCCCCGAGGAAAAGGATGGTTGCTGTGCCAGAATCGGACAGGGAGGGGTGCTGAGCCTGCTGTGGGGAGTCAGGAAAGGCTTCCCAGAGCAGGGACAGAGCAGGACGGTGGAGCCAGCTGCACCAGGTGGAGCAGGAGCTGGCCCCGGGAGGGGCAGTGGGGAAGAGGGGTGGCTGGAGGCTTTCTGGCAGAGATAGAATTGCTTGCCCAGAGGTCACAGTGTCTGTGGTGGCACAGAAGGAATCCGGCCTAGCACGGTCTCACTTTAAGCCCGTGGTTTCTCCTTGTCCCTAGAAGCGTCCTCTCTTCGCATACAGGCAAGTCAGCTGGACTTGAAGAAACAAAAGAAAAACCTGATTAAAGTCTTTTAAAGTTAAAATTATTATAATAGAAATAATGAAAAACAACACTGTTTCAAACTGCCTGATGTTGCCCAGATTGTGGGCTCACCTGGGTGCCTTCCGCACGCTGTGTGGCCTTGTTTCTAGGAAGGGTGCGTTCTGTGGGGACCAGACAGTCAGGAGGAGCTGAGAACAGGTCCGCCCTCCCCGTTGCCTTCAACCCTGTCTCCTCCCACACCAGCTCCAGCTGCCCAGAGAGTCTGAGGCGGCTGAGGAGATTCACAGGCAGCCCGAGGAGGGACATCCAGGGGTCCCTTTCGGGGGGACACTGACGGGCTCTTCTTCAGATGCCTCTCGTCAGTCTTCGGCCTGAAGCTATTGTACACATTCACTTGATTCTTATCATACTCTTGAGGAACCCGTTGAAGAAATGAGGCCCCTAGAGAATGATCAAGGCCAGGACAGGGACCAGAGGCCTGGCCGGTGACTCTCCGTTCCGTGGCTTTGCACACGGACACAGACGGAGCCCTCAGAGGAGTGAGAAGCACAAAGGCACTCACCTGGCTGGTGGGTGGCAGGGGTTTCTGACTCCCGGCTCATTGCCCACTCCATTCTTCTCGCGACTCTGTTGTCAGCTAAAAAGTTTTCTCGGAATTTTGAATGCACAAAAGGAAATTGTGCATGTGCTTTTGGGGACATGTGAGATGGAGAGAGAGACCCAGAGACAGCAGCCCAAGTGCCCGTGCGGTGAAAATGTCAGGATTGCTTTAAACCCTGATTCATAGCCATTCTGTTCCTGGGGAATGCGAGTTGAGCTTTAGAAATGACATCAACCATCTTCAATTTCACATCCATTCACAACTGGATTTCACTTTTCACATATCTTGGGCAGCCCCCAGTAAATGGACATGACCACACACAAAGTTCTCTGCACCAGAGAATGCCGCCTTCCCAAAGTCACTGGGTGAGCGCGTGCATGCTCTGTTCTTTTAGGAGCAAGATTTCTTCACATCTGTCACATCTTACCCACGTCCAATCGCATCTGCCTGGCCTGGCCGTGCCAGGCCACACCCATCTGTCTTCCTGACACTTTCACGGCAGCTGGACCAGTGGGGGGGCACTGGTACATTTATTGTCTCTGTGAGCAGAGACCACGGCAGAGGCTGTACAAACCCTCCCCTGGGCAGTTCCATTCCTCCTCCTTCCAGAGCCAGTGCATGTGCCTTGGAACTGGAGCAGCCCCCGAGGTGTGGCGGGCTTCCTGCTGCTCTCTGTCTTGTATGACTGCAAGGCCCTCCAGGAAGGTGCCCATCTGGGCCTGCCTGCTGCCCGTCCAGCCTGGACAAGTGAAGAATGCCCACCGCAAGCACCAGGCCCCAGGAAGAGAGCCACTTTCGTTCCACGGCCGTCACCCGAGCACCTCCTCCGTGAAGACCACACACTACCCTTGCTCGAGCCCTGCGCCCTGACCTTGCCCAGGGGAACTTGGGCTCCCGTGGATGAGGCTGTGAATCAGTTTGGTATCTTTTCTTTCGATCAAGTACAGGAATTTAGATTTGGCCTCTGCTCTGATCCTGCTAAAATCATTCTTGGCACTGTGGACTTCCAGCCTTTGCAATCAGAGCATCTATTATCATCCTGATTAATGCCAAGGCTCTGATGGGGTGGGATCCAGAGGCAAACACCATTTCAAGATGCCTCGTCCCCATGTTGACTGCAGGTGTCTTTAAAGGCAGTGGAGTCATCGCTAACACGCACACATCAGCACTCAGATGGCTCCAGGGGGCACTGACAGTTTCCCGGCAAAACACCCGGTGCCAGGCCACCTTAGGGGCCCCCTTCCAGGTCCAACAGGGAAAGGCAGGGGAAATCTCAAAGTAAATCCAATTCTTAACCAAACCATGTGTATTGAGGACAGACTCGGAAATGTGATGCTGTGCTTTTCTCAGCATGGATGGAGAACTGTGCTCTTCTCAACCACCTTTACGGAGAGGAAGGAAAAAGGGACAGTGGGAAACCACTGCACCCTGAGACTGAGGAGGGACACAGATGTGAGACCTCTCCCTTCCACTTTAAGATTATTCTGCAGGAAAGTGACTTCATTGTTCAGTACCTACACTTTTTTTTCTGGCCTGAAAATAGGATTAAGGATTACCCACGCAGGCTCTTGTATAAGTTATTTATACTGTTTCTGCACAGTACACTGATTCATTTTACATGGAATAACCCAGTTTTTACAACTCTGTATGCTTACAGCCACGGAGGAGCCAAAGACTGTAGATCCTGCAGTGAGGGGATAGCGTCTCTGCCACTCTGCCCAGGGTGGTGCAGAAGGGATGCTCAGCTGGTGTTTGTGGAGTGGATGGGGGGAGATGAGGGAGATCATCCTCGAGAGGTTAAAATCTAACTGGGTGTTACAGACAAGTATACACGTAATGGTGATGCAGGGCAGACTGGAGAGCATCCTAAGAACAAACAAAGATTTGGGGTTAAAGGTGAAGGAAGGCAACATTCAGATGGCCAGACACAGGACTGCTGCCCGGGAAGGGGTCTCCCTGGGCTCTGGGGGCAGGTGGAACTTCTGCGGGAAGCGAGGAGGATGAGTGCCTCACAGACAGAAGCACAGGCACCAGCTAAAGGTGGAGAAGGGAAGCCAGAGGAACACTGGGTCACAACTAGTGTGCAGACACGCACAGCTTTGCTCCCTTAAAGGAGGTCACTCAGGCCGCCGCCTTGGACTCCAGGGCCAGGTGGGAGCAGCCAGCACAGGTAGGAGTGAGGCCCTGGTCCTGGTGTCTAATGGTCTCGCTCTCCCTGCTCACCCACCCAGCCTCAAGCCCTTCTCCAGACGGGCAGGACGCCAGGCGGCCACGGAGCAGGAACCCGTCCACCTGGACCGTGGAGGATGTGGTCTGGTTTGTGAAAGACGCTGACCCGCAGGCCCTGGGGCCTCACGTGGAGCTCTTCAGAAAGCACGTATGTGTGCGGTGGGCCTGGCCTGGGAGGGGCTGGGGTGGGGGCAGGCACGGGAGGAGGGCAGGGTTCAGGAGCTTAGGACTAGGGGAGGGGGCGGTGGCTGAACTAAGCCCTGGGGGACACTCAGGGAGGCCAGCTGGAACCACAGGCTTCTCAGCGCACAGCAAGCACTTCGTTTGTGTTAAAGGGCTATTTATCCCATCTGTTCCATCGTTCCGGCCTTTAACAGGAGAGCTTGTTTTCCTGCCCATCCATCCACCCGTCCGCGCATCCACCAAATATTTATAGCCCATCTATGACATGACAGGCGAACCGTACTGGGGTCTAGTCCTAAGCTGTTTGTGGATTAAATAAAATGCACATGCAGAGTGTTAAGTGTGGTGCCTGACTCGGAGAGAGCCTCCAGTAAGCAGGCATTCTCATCATTGTCTAGGAGATTCTGAAATACATAAAGACGGGAAATGAAAAAAGATGTAAGAATTAATACTTTACCTGCCAAGCTTACCATGTCAGTTTTCCACTTCTGCTATAATGAGTTACCACAAATGTAGTAGCTTAAAACAACACATTAAAACATTTTACATTAAATTCATTGGGGTGGCATTGGTTAATGAGATTATATGGGTTCAAGTGTACAATTCTATAATGCATCATCTGTATATTGCATTGTGTGTTCACCTCCCGAAGTCAAGGCTCCTTTTGTTACCATATATTTGACCCCCTTTACCCCCGTCTACCTCCCCCTGACCCCAAACAACACAACTTGTTCATTTACAGCTCACTGGGTCAGAAGTCTGACCTGGCCGGCCTCATGGGCTGAGGGTGCCGGCAGGGCTGACGTTCTTTCCAGATACTTTTGGGAGAGCTCCTTTCCTTGTCTTTTCCAGCATCTAGACCCACCCTCATTTCTTGGCTTGGACCCCCTCATCCTCATCCTCACCCTCATCCTCACCCTCAGAGCCACAGCACTAAACAGGGTCCTTCTTCGGCCGCTGACTTGGGCCCTTCCTCCCACGTTTACGGACCCTGCAATTGCATAGCCTCCTCCAGCCCCAGTCATCTCCCAGACGCTCTCCCTGTTATAAAGGCAGTGATTGGCAGCCTTAATTCCACCTGCAAACATAGTCTCCTTTGCCAGGTAACCTAACAGATCCACAGGTTTCAGGGATTAGGATATAGACATCTTGGGGAAAAAAGGAGAGGGAACATTCTTCTGCCTACTGCAGTTACCATTAATTTTTTCCTGCTTGTCTCTCATTTTATTTGGTGATTCTATCACAGAAATCATACTCTCAGAACTGGGGAGGATCCTATCTAACCCAACACTCACATTTTATTAGGGATGTATTTGACCTCACCTAGCAGTGCGGTCGGTCGTGAGAGCAAGGACCCAGGGTGGGTTATGTTTAATCAGAGCCGGGTGGGAGGAGCCTGGCTGTCTGTCTTCCAGAGTGACAGACATGGTGAACGTCTAGGGGGTGGGGTAAAGACAGACATCAGACAATGAGGCCTCTGGGAGGGTTCACAGATGAGATCCGTGCTCTCTAACACTTTGCTAAGGACACAGAGAGTGTGACACAGAGTCAGCGCTTCATCGATAACTGGAGGGCTGGCGAGAGGAATGAGAGGGAACCGCAACCCAAAATGTCTGTCTCCAGTGACCTGAAAATAACACTAGGTTAATGAGGAAGCCCAGCCCTACCAGGTCCACGAGTTCGACAGGACAATTGGGAGCAATGCCGGGCCCTCACGGGACTGGCATTCCTTTAGTAGTTCTCTGTGCTAAACCCCGGGGTTTAGCATGGGAGTCATCTAATTGTCTGCCACCCAGCATTCCTGACAGGGCCAAAGACACCTGACCTCCCTCACAGAGTGGAATTAGCAATCTAGTAATCAGCTAAAGGCAGGTGGGCTTAGAAACAAGAGATTAGGGTGATGGATGGAAGCCAGGCCCTTACATCAGCTCCTGGAATGGAAAGGGAACCACTAGTTTCCGAGTCTGATGGATGACTCTCCGCCTAAGTTCAGGCCTCTGTAACCATGTACCATAGACCAGCTGGTGTCTGAACAATACCAACTCACTTCTCAGTTCTGGAGGCTGGAAGCCCACCATCAGCCTGGTCTGCTTCTGGTGAGAGCCCTCTTCCGGGCTGCAGATCACCACCTTCTTCTTGTTGTTCAAGGACACTACTCCCAGTCACAAGGGCTGCACCATCATGGCCTTATTACCTCCCAAAGGCACTGCCTATTGGAGGTTAGGACTTCAACACAGGAATGGGGGAGGGGCATACATTCCATCCATCACACACGTCTTGCTCATTTAGCCCTAGTTTCGATGAGGAGATGAACATCATACATGGAACATAGGGACCATGTGGAAGTATGCTTGATTCCTTCAATCAGGATAAAGTGGGAATATGAAAGGGCCAGTGTGTTAAAGTACCCCAGGGAGATGACAGGAAGAGGAGCATGTAGTATTTTTGCTTCATCTTCTAAAGAAGGTCTGGTCTCACGGCTAAGAGATGTGCACCTAAGGAGATCCGTATTCTCTCCCCTAATCCCCTGGCCACCCCTGAGCTGCAGCCACAGTTTAATTCCTCTGACCGTCTCCTGCTTTTCCTTTGTTCTGACCCTGTCCCACCAGGAGATTGATGGCAATGCCCTCTTGCTGCTGAAGAGTGACATGGTTATGAAATACTTGGGCCTGAAGCTGGGACCTGCGCTGAAGCTCTGCTACCACATCGACAGACTGAAGCAGGCCAAGTTCTGAAGGGTTTTAAAAGACAGAATCCAAATCCAGACAGCGCATCTCAAGATCATCTTCTGCCTTACCAACATCTGGCCTCCATCACAAAATTGATTCTCTTCTTAAAGACAACAGCCCCAGAGATGTAGTCTTTGTACAAAACTCATGCATCTCCGCCTTTTCAAATATTCAGCCTGGTCCTTTTGAAAGGCTCCTTGGTGTTAATGGTTTGCCAAAAAAATGACAAAAATGCCTATTATTTGTAACATTCCTGATAGGTTGGTTGCCGTTAGAGTGGGTCCTGTTTTTACAAAGGAAGATGGGGAACCGAATGCTCCACCCAAGGAGAAGAACCCTGGGGGGTTCCATGGATGAGAGCAGAACCCGTGTCTCTGCAGGCCTTGCGGGGACGCCCACCACAGCGCCCCCTGTCTTTGACTCGGACCCGCAGACCTCTCATTGTGATCCTTGCCTGATTCAGCTCTTAAAGCTGTCTTCTAAGGATAAATGCCTCACCTTGCACTATCTGGAAAACTTGAATTCTTTTGCTCTCTGAAAGAGAAGGAAAAAAAAAATCTTTTCTATTCCTGGTTATCTGAAATACTGTGTTATCCCACTAGAGGGCAGACTGCTAATGAAATTCCAGGACTCTCACTGCTGTAGCCTGAGGATTCCGGACTCAATAGATGGGTTAGGGTGTCCGTGAATAAGATCTAGCCCACACACACGTAGGGAATTTATTTCAAGGTCAGCACCACAGATTGTAACTGGGGAAGACCCAATTACCTCCCAAAGGTAATTGGAAAGAAATTGTCTCCTACAAGGTTCTAGTTCATATCCAATCATTACTACTGACTGAGATGTACAAGCAGCAAAGGCAAGAATTTGGAAGTACATTCTCCCCAGATGGGGCTTTGGAGTTTCTTCCTTTCCAGAATCCTCACTGAGGTGTCAGTGTGTTGGCACGCGGAAGAGTCTTAGTGACATTTAGCCATGGGTGTTTCTTTAAAAAAGAAGAAAAATGTCTCAACTAAGCTTTGAAATGGGAAAGTGTTGGTTTCTAGTTACCTTGCTGGATTACGTAGTTGTATGTGTGGCTAATTTTTCTAGTCCTCAACAAATACACAGACATGCTATTATTGGGTTTAATTCACTTTACAGGTAGGTTTTCCTTCCTCACCATGGACCAAGAGGAAAAAAAAAAAGATTTTCCACCCCTTTGCAGCTGTGTCCAAGGAAGGACAATATGTCCACAATTTAGTAGCAGACAAACAACTTCGCCTTCATTCTTCCTTTTACCCCTCTCCTTCCTCTCTCTTTTTTCCCTTCCTCTGTCACTGAACAGAAAACACACCTTCCAAATGAATTCACCTTTGTCACGGGCCTATCCTCTTCCTTAACAAACATCCGCAGTGTTGGCAGTGAGGCAATAAAGACCAGACTGCCATCTGGAGAGAGAGAGCATCAGAAAGAAGCTCAGCGCTTCCCTTGGCCCAAACACACATTAGAAAAGGCACAGCTATGTCCGGGATGCAGCCTGCACCGGAGTCTCAGCTGGAGAGGGTTCCAGGGTGGGGTTGCAGCCCCCTCACTCCCACCACCAGGTGCAGGGTGTGGCCTCTACAAACTTGAGGGCAGCCCTGGGTGGATCTGCAAGTTGGTCCTATACAGCAGTTAGGACTTAGATGATGACCATAAGAGATACTCCACGCCATGCTGTGTGAGGTCTGGAAACCCTGCAACAACCCCTGTTTCCCATCCCCCCTTTCTGATCGCCCCTCTGAAACTCGTGGTGCCTCTTTCATCAACATATACCTCATTTAGAGACTTTCAGAGTTTCCTGCCCACCCTCATGGGCACCTCCCTCACTACACAAACACGAACACTGTGCCCCCAAAATCAAATCATACCCAAACAATGTCAAAGAGACACTCTGAGTAGGTTTCAGGGGAGATGTTCCCATCTCACATCTTGGAGAAAACTGGACCTTGTTCATGTGTGGCTACTCTCACGGAGGTGCTGTCTCACTTTGCATTAAACTTTAGGCAGGACAGATTGCCGAAGCCACGATATTTAAGGTTTGACTTTTTAAAAATCTCGTGACTCTTAAAATGAATGCTGCCGTATCAGAGAATAGCCCAGGGAGGAAATTCTTCCTTGCTTGTTTTGCACTGGAATGCAATTAGCCAACCAAATTATTGTAGCAATACTGCAATTATAATTAATTTTCACCCCTTTCAAAAATCTTGTCAAACCAGGCAGCTAAAAAGCTTAGCAAATGCAAAACTTGCTAGGCCATTTCCTCCAAACAGCCCTCTGAGAGTCAGGCCATGTGTGTCGCTCCTGTCTACGTGTGAGCTTATTTGGGGCCACATGTGTGTACAGTTAGGGTAGTCATCATTCCACCGCAGTAGCTTTGCTTTGCATTGTGACAGATAATGCTATTAGTTTTGCATAATTCCAAAATAGAGATAGAGTATGTGTGTGTGTGTGTGTGTTCACGTTCCAAACATTTTCAATTATACTTTTCTGTTAAACACTTAAACAAAAAATCTAGAAACAATTCTATTGCCTAATGTGTTTTAAATATTTTCTGAAGCACATTATTCCTTTGGTGAAGACTTCAGGTAAAAGATGTGGGGGTGTGCGTGTGTGTGCATGCGTGTGTGTGTGTGTTTCCTGACACTGTAGTTGAAAAGCCTTAGGAAGTGGCTGGGAGTGTATCAGCTATTATATTTGCTTGTTTCTTTAAGTATGCCTCCCCTGCTTTGTAACACACAGACGGAACCTGCTCTAGGCTGTTCCTACTAGGTATACCCTCTCACGCCAGCAGGGTGCGCCCTGGAGGCAGCTCGGGGCTTCTGGGCCGACCCAACTCAGGCAAAGACAGGCCGCTGTGACTGATGGGGAGGCCCAACCTGGGAGAGCTGTGGGCAGGGAGCCCCTGTCTTCATACCAGTTCACTGCCCATTCGTGCGTGCACTGGGTTCCTATCATTTCCCCTCGGCAGGGCTGCTGAGCTTGTTTCCTTTCAGTAGGAAAAAGGAGTGAAGAGCTCCTCAGGAGAACCAACTAGGACACTGAAATCCGATGCAAAGGAATTCCGAGCACGGGTTGGTTTGCTTGGGAAGGGAATCAGTGAGGGGGGGAAGACAAAACTATACATTTCTTAGGAAAGCAGGAAAAGAGCACCTCTTCTAATGGTCCCAACCCTTTAAGGTGCAATAACCTATTTTTGTATTTACATTCTGTATGACAGATTTCTTACTTTTTAAAATTTAACATTATTTTAAAAGTGGCTTTTGAAATTGCTTTAGGGGAATTTGGTCATATCTCTGAAGACAATTGGAAATGCCCAGAGGTGGCTATGGACTTGAATGTAGGCATCACCAGAAGGTCTTGAGCAATGAAACTATCACGCTTTCCTTCTGAAGAACACCACCAGGCCTTCCTGCGTGGGGGCTGAAGATGGGCTCTGAGGGCGCTTTTCCGACTCTTCTGCAATGGCGTTAGACGAGGAGGAGATTTGACTCTTTTTTTTTTAATCTCAGATAACACGGCATGGGATTGTGCAGGAGTAGAACATTTTTTAAAACTGCAACATTTTGTTAAGGAGAAGGGTGAAAACCTGCCCCTGGGCTTTATTTTTTGTCATAAACACACTGCAAGACCTGAGTGGGGTTGCCTGTGGTGTGAGTGTTCCCTGCGGCAGGAGGAGACCATGCTGAGAGGCCCGGAGGTGAATCCAGTGGGTGGTCAGACAGGTAGAGGCAGTGATGTCAGTCCGGCAGCAACACCCTGCTACTGCACTCAACACCTGGCACCCGAGCTCCCGGCCCGACCCCTGGCTGTGCCACCGGCCAGAGCACTGGGACCTCAGCCTACGGGATGTCCTCCCCTCCTAATCGAAGATGATTCCTTCATGGGTGATTGGAAGCTGGACATTTGGAAACGTAGCATTTATTTGAAAGAGAATCGCCCTTATTTATCACCACCAGTTAAATATGATGGAAACATGTCTGCTAACAATTTACTTTGTGTAATTTGTTCTAATGCTAATAGGCAACAGCTGGGATACTTCCTGTGGTAAATTCCTGTGTGGTTACAGTGGTATGATCACACATGGACTTCACCAAAACGCTGTACTTGAGAAGAAAGCTCACGCAGGCTCTCCCAGGCTTCAGGACAAGAGTCACAAAGGCACGTTTTTGCAGAAGGATTTGCTTTTCTTCACTCTGCTTTCCCAAGCAAGGCCCTGGACCTTGAAGTCCTACAGAAAGAGCCTGGAGGGTTCTCCTCACGCTTAGCATAGAGTTTGATTTCCCTACAGAGGAAAAGACAGCACACAGAGCTTCAGAAAGACACCTCCCTCCAGGTCAGTGCGCCGTACCAACGTGGATATTGAGAGGATGGGGCACGAGATGAGCGGAGACACGGAACTGGCTTGGCAGCTGCTGATTTAATGATGTCAGACTGCGTGGGGACAAAGCATCTTTCCGCCCACAGGGTCTAAATATACACTTCAACTTGCTCTGCGCTGCCAGCCCACCATGCTCTGCTCTGTAGCTTGAGCACATGACCTGAGCCTTAGAGGTGGTCTCATGCCCTAGAGGCTCACTGCAAGGACCAACACAATCTTCCATTGGAGCCTATTCTGAAACACAGCCAAAGCCTTGCTTCTCCAAACCGCTCGCTATGAAATCGCAGGCCCTCCCTGGGTGTCGGTTCACAGCAAGTGTGTGTGTGACCGGAGGCTACCTCCATCATCCGAGTAGCATCCTCCCATCTCCGGAAGGCTCTGCCTCCCCGTCAAGGTGCTGGAATGCCTTCCCCACAGCCCTGAGAAGTGGCTCAGCCTGACCACTTCCCATCAGGGGGAGTTCACTCCCAGAGGAAGTGGTTTATTTCTTTGTTGGACAGCTCTGGTTGTGAAAAAGTTTTTTCTCAGGGAGACACAGATGTCTGTGAATCAGACACAGACGTTTGAGATGAAGCCAACTCTGCAATCTTTCTCTTTTTAACAGAGCTTGTCCAGGCAGCAACCACACCTATAATACAAACCGACATTGGCAAGTAGATCCCAGCTCTGCTGCATTAGGATGGAGGAGCAGACACTCGATACAGATGTGGCCACAAGCAAAATTTCTGTGGCCTTGTACACACACAAAAAGGGTGGCCTGGAGAATTTTCAGTGCAGTTGTAAATCTGGCTGTGTTCACATAAGCGTGTGATAAAGTTACATCAGTGTACATGAGTGAATCTCTAAGGCCATGCGCCTTCCAGTGGTTAAACTGTGAAAAAGGTGCTGTGACCCACTGAAGCCCTGCCTCCTAGTTGTACTCATTGGCGATGTAATGATGGAAGGAGGCTTTAGTTTAGACAATAGCAGGTTATGATTGATGCTGGGTGAGTAAACATGGTCTTTCGTGAATTTATGAAAGTTACACAGTTGATGACCCCCCGGCCCAAGTCAGATGCCGTGCTTGTGTGTGCGTGTGCGACTGAGCTCAAACTGGAGTGAACGCAGCAAGGAGTGGGAACTGGGGAAGGTTCCGGAAGGGGTTGCAAAAGGAGATTTTGCTTTCTAGAGCATTCTATTTAATCAGAAGAATACCTAGTGATGATTTAGAAATCAGACCCCAAAGTACGCCAAGTGTATAGTATATGTAGCTTACTTAGATCAATTTCTGGAGCAGAATCTCTATGAAAATACTGAAATCTTGGTACTTGGAACAGGTAGATACTGTCCGGCACCTTGGCTAACACCCGCCATATAAAAGTCATCTCATTAATATTCATTGTCTGACTGGATAAACGAATGCTTGCCCAGTTTGCATATTTTCTCCAAAAAACCACTAGTCCTTTCTTGAACCCCGTTATCTTTACTGAGAGGAAATTTCCAGAGGAACAGACCAGGAGAGGGGCACGAGGCCTTACCTTTCCCCTGGCTCTCCAGGAGCTCGAATGGGTCAACCTCCAGAGTCACTGACTTGCATTCCACTTGTGTCTTTTTGTCTTAAAATCTCACATTCCA